AGTCTATCTATCTATCTATCTATCTATCTATCTATCTATCTATCTATCTATCTATCTATCTATCTATCTATCTATCTATCTATCTATCTATCAGTGGCGTGGCTCTCCAAGCGCAAATGGCACCATGGCGCCACCCTTTGAAATGGAGAAGGAGTTTTCAGAAAAGGGAATACGATTTTCCAAAACCTAACAAAATATCACAACACTTTTTTCAAACAAATCTCTTATTCAGTGTTCATCCCTAAGTACGCAAGTCTTTAGTTAAGGTGTCTATAATTAGGCTAGTGGGAGGAGGGCGGGTAAGTTATCATCATCATCAAGTACCACATCTGCAGTAGACATCGGCGTTCATCGTTCTCCATTCTTTTCTTTTCTCGGATGCTCTAAAAAAACAACAACCCACACATTAAAAAAAAAACCCGGTATACTGATCTCGTCACCCATCTGCTTGTAATAGGCTCTCCAAGTAGGATAATCTGGATTTACCTCTGCCTCGTTTGCCTTGCCAGTAAGAGCTGGATGTGATGTTCAAGGTCTTTATGTCTATTCAAGCGTGACAGAAACTGCATACTCTGTCTTTTCCTGATTGCTTTTTTTTTCAGCGTGCGGTTTACGTGAGGTCTTGAAGTACTATATCTTCTGGTCTCATTTCCTTCCAAGAACTTCTCAGCAGCCTGCTGAGAAACCACCTTTCTGCTGCTTCTCATCTTTTTAAAAACATTTTTCACTGTCGTTAATCTTTAGTGATTGACCAGCATAACAGACGTAGGCCATAGAAGTAGGGTAGCCTACATGATCAGTTAAGCTAGCGCCCCCTCCCGCCCCCAAATAAAAAAAAAACAACCCACTTATTATATAAAAATGATTTGTTAAAAATACAACATGCAAAACCCAAACAATTTAACTTTTAACAAATTATGCTTCCCCCTCTCTTTCTCTTTCTCCTCTCCTCTATATCTCTGTACCTTTGTCTCTCTACCCCTTCTCTCTCAATCTTTCGTTATGTAATATTACGTAACCCACACGGCGGACTTTGCGCACTCGCCTTGGCTAATGAAGCTGGCGGGAACACACACACAGTCACTTACACAAACATACAAACACGTCCGTCGAGAGTTTGTTCTTTTTTTTTCCTTTTCACTTGATGAGTGAAAAGATATTTAAGGCTGCGAAAGAAGCAGCTGGCATTTGCGTGTTGTCAGTTTTGTTTCGTAACCAAGGAAGCAAATAAAAAGTTATCTCCCCTGCTTGAATATAGGGGGCGTAGTAAACATTGTCGAATTCAACAAAATGGCAGCGACCAGGCGGCTTACAAAGGTACTGAGTTTCATTGTTTCTCCCTTCCGCGATTGTTCTTTTTGTGGATTTCATTTCAAAACAATTACCTAGATTTTATTCCAATGTTTGGCAGTTTTGATAATGGATACTAGTTCATTTATTTATTGTTTGTTTACAGTTATATCTTGATCTATGTGGCGAGTTGCTTGCAGTTTCATCTTTCCAAAAAAATACGGTTCTTCGGTCACTCAGCTCTAAAATTAGACTTCGTGTCCCCTCTTTCTGTTCACTGTTCTGCCGTCGCTTGTTTTACCTAAAAGATTGAAATATGAACATGTCCATATGTGTATATAATTTGATAACCTCTTCAGTTGATCTGTGTACTTTTTTCCAAGTCTAAAAGCCTGTTTCAGCAAATGAATCTCTTCTTCAGCGCGTTGACGTGATGATAAAGCAAGACTCGGGACTGAAACTAAAGGCCACCTCTATTCTCACCCGGAGAACTGCCTAAATAAAGAGTGGCCCTAGATTTCTAGATCTAGGTATCTGCATACATGAACTTAGTTTGACAGAAAAGTAAATTCAGTAAATAAATGAATAGCTTGTTAAGAAATAAACAAGTAGAAGATCTATTAGAATTGCAAGTGCTCCTGTCAAGCCGAACTAAATAGTCTAGTCTAATTAGACTAATGTAACGTTGACCTAGATCTAGATCTAAGCCTCCTCCTAGATCTAGATTCTAGATCTAATGCCCCATTTAGACGCACAGTTCGTTGATCGACGAACTGACAGTTTAACCAACGGACGCTCTATCTGGGTCACCGGTAAACTGACAGTTAGTCGACGAGAGAAGTTCCGTTTAGACGTACAGTTTTTATATCCCTCCTTGGGACCGGTGTAGCTAGATCTAGATCTAGATCTAGGTCACTAACAACGTCAACAATGACAATGGCTGAAGCAAGCTACCTGGATGATTTGGCAGCTTTTATTGTCCTCAAATCCAAAAAGAAAGCTAGAAAGAGGACCATCTGGGCTAAAGAATGGCTACTAAAAAGAAGTACATACACACACACAAATATTCTATTTCCACAACGGAGCGTTTCCACAATGCTGGCAACGTTCGATTTAAAAGTTCGATAAACTGTAGTTTTTTTCGTTAACGAGACAACAGTTTTCCTCCGCCCAATCAAATAGTTGCCTTGTAAAATTTCTGTCTCTTGTTGCTGTCGTTAGTGTGTATGTGTCTGTTTGTTAATTCTGCTGATGTGCTGTAAGAGAGTATAGTGTTTGTTTGTTCAGTTGTTGCAATTGGTCCAGTTTTATGTGGACTTTCACCTTTTGTTCAAAGCAATGGAATGGTTGTTTGTGTTCACAGTTATCAGTTATTCCATTTTTGTTAAATGTGTCATCTTTTAAGAGATGAGGATGAAAGTATTTATTTTTGTCAGAACACACAAAAAAAACTAAGTCCTAAGTGGTGATGGAATCATAAGTCATAAGTTTTTGTTTTTTATGTTTTCAGGAACTGGGAGACTTGACATCACCAAGTTCTGCCCTGAAACGCTCATTCCGGGAAATCAATGTGGATGAGTCGAATATACTTCTGTGGCACGGCTTAATTGTGCCTGTAAGTAAAATTTTTGCTAATTCTATAAGTTTCTTTTATTTTACCAATTGTAATGTAAGGGACACAAGTAGACAGGAGTTAGGAACTACTCATAATGAGTAAGCGCAGTCCAGTGCAGTTTCCAGTAATATCTGATAAATCATATAATATATAATAATTTAAATTAATAATATAATAATACAGTCAAACCTGTGTAAGACGGCCACCCATTGTCAAGGAGAAAAGTGGCCGTATAAGACAGGTGGCCGTCTTAGGCAGGACTGATCAAGATGAAGAAAACAAACCTTTCCCATCTGAGGTCCCAATGGAAAGTAGCCGCATAGTTGTTGTTGGCGGTGGTGGTGGTTTGTATTTTGTTTGTAGTTTTTATTTTGTTGCTGATTTTGCAAAAGGGTGACAATAAAATGAAATGTATCAGGCGAGGAAGACCGAGTGCCATGTTAAAACAAACACATGGGTCGCCACCACTCGGAGAACGAGCGACGCTTCTGTCACAAGTTCATGTTGACGTCCTTTGTTACTTTGTTACAGACTGGGTAAACAGTGACCACTCATCTCACTTACGATTTGTGTATGAGTTCTGGGCGGGGCTTATGGGTTATGAGGGATCACACGCTTACCTCATCAGCAGCTGAAAATTGGAAGCTATTGGTCAACAGTGGGAGGGGCCTACGCAACATGATCGGTTGGAGGGACTATCTAACAACAACAACAGGTGATTGAATTATGATGGCTCGCCCACAACGACAGGGGTCAATGCACAATTTATGACAAAACGTAATGGAGCTACTAAGGTGGCCGTCTAAGACAGGTGTTGTTGCTTAGTATGATAGGGGTTGTGTGTTAGAATATGGTGGCCGCGGCCGCGTTGAACAGGTGCCCGTTTTATGTCAGGGCAAGTTTGACTGTAATTTACATTGAGCTCCACCCTGATTAAAGTACACTGGCTGACCACTCTACCAGTACAATGAAAAGTAAAACTTAAAGAGTACATTGTGTTGTGACTAAAAATCTACGTGTATACATACAGTTGAACATGCCAAAATGGCCAGCTGCACAAATGGCCTGTTATACTATACTCTTTTTTAGAGAACCATGTTGGTTGTTCTGAGTTGGTCATTTGGACTCAACATGCTGGCTGTTGCTTGGTGTGAGCCAGTTGGTGCTGAGCTCTCGAGCTGTACCGACAAGTTTTGCAGGTGGTTGGCGGATGCTCTGGTGTGGTTTGCTTCTTCTTTCCTATCAAACGTCTATCGTCCTGATCTCTCTTCCTTCTTTTTTTTTTGGTGTTTATTGATCTCTTGTAACACCTCTGATCTTTGCACCCCCCTCCCGGGGCGGTGCTACTGACCAAAGTGTCTTCAGGCCATTCCCAAAGGGGGGACATTTCTGGTTCTTATGCACAGTAGAATTGCTATTGTAAATGGGCCGAACCATCAATGTCATGCTCATAACTGCCTGAACCGCACCAGGGAACTACTGCTTTTTCTTTCCTTATCCTACTATCGTAATTTTTCATCTACTTCTTTTGTATGCTTGTCACACTCTTGTGACCTGCTATTTCTGGGGTGCCTTATTTGTCGAAGCAGACTTTGTTCTGTTGAAGCTAGAGAGGTGATGAGCAGAGTATGTCTGATTCCCTGTAAGGACTTCTCTCTTGACATCCACCTCTTGGCACTCGTATGACTTTATGCACTTGCGAATGCCGTAAATCCTCTACTAAAACAAAAACTCTGATCTTCGGCACTTTTATGCTCTTGTTGTGTTGCAAGTGCCATAAAACTCTCTTACTGAAAAAACCCCTAAAACTGACAAGTTTCTCTTTGGCTCGTGTCCCCTCACAGGAGAACCCACCCTACAACAAAGGAGCTTTCAAGATTGAGATATCGTTCCCAGCAGAGTACCCGTTCAAGCCCCCGAAGGTGATATTCAAAACCAAAATCTACCACCCCAACGTGGACGAGAAGGGTCAAGTGTGTTTGCCCATCATCAACGCGGAGAACTGGAAACCAGCGACTAAAACGGACCATGGTAAGAATAGAAAGTTTTTCGGTAGAATCAGTTTTTTTATTGTGCCTCGGTTCAGGTTGAAATGGAGCAAGCTAGAAGAAGGTTCTACTGTATTTTTTTTTCGGCTGATATTTCCTGATAAGGCTGTCGTGGTCTAGAGGTATAGTGTTGGCCTCTCATTCGAAAAATTCCGGAGTTTGGAACCCGACAGGGGTGGACATTTTTTCTTCTAAAATTTTCCTGTTTCTCCTCTTTTCCCGTTCTGTAGTCCTTTTCTGTCTTCTGCTTTCATTTCCTCTTTCTTCTCCCCGGAAGCCTTCTATTGACTCCTCTCTCATTTACTTTCGACTTTTATTACTGTTACTCTTGGCTGGTGTCGTTCAGGGACACCCCTGATCTTACGGCTGGTAGGATCGAACACCAGTCCTTCTCAGATAAGTGCGAAAAATCTTGGGAGGTCCCGTGTTCAAGTTCTGCACGTTAAAGATCCCTTGGTGATCCTAATATGGATAAAAATAAGCTTCTGCAGCCACCCAGGCAAAATTCAAAATTAATTGCAACTAAAACCGAAAATATTCTAGTCAGTATAAAAACATCTAGAGTACCTTCAAAATCAGGAATGTGGCTGCCTGAAGGTAAGAGGCATTACAAAGTAGGAAAAACAGTCACATAAGAATCAGTTGGACTGAGGGTTGAAGAACCCCTGGGGTCTGGCAGGGGAACACAAAAAAGAAAATGTCTGTCTGTCTGTGATGTCCTGTTCCATGTGTCCCCAATACAGTAAATCATAAATGACCAGTATCATGTGGATGTGCATCGCTTTACTAAAAAGTAAAACAAACTTAACTTTTCCATGTAGACCCATCTATGTGGGGGTGGTGTTCTGGTGCGGTTTGCTCCTTCTCTCATGTCAAAAACTATCGTCCTTCTCTCTCTTCAGCCATGTGGACATCCGAGGAAATGGGTAGGTAGATGACCTGGCGAAGAAATCCTTATCCCTTCTGTTGGGATCAACAACGAACACTCTCCCACAGACTGACTTTAAAAATAAAGTAAAAAAGTACACCTCCAGTGTGTGGGAGAGCCACTGGAAAAAACAGACGAGTAACAAACTCTATAATATTAAACCCAAATTGGGACCGTGAAATCCTTGACCTCTCCAGAAGAGACGAAGTCATTTTTACTCGATTCGCATCGGACACACGGTTCTAACACACAAATACCTCCTTCAGGGAGATGAGAAGCCATTCTATGTCGGATGCGACTCAGATTTTACCATTAGACACATTTTAACCGAATGTCTAGACTTTGGAGAGATCCGAAGGAAATACTTTGAATGCAAAAAATTGCAAGACATTTTTTCTGTCGTTTGCCCCAACAGAATTTGGATTTTATGAAGGCCATTGGCCTTTATGGAAAATTGTAGTGTAGAACAAAACTGAATCATTAAAATTTTTTATGACAGTTGTTTTAGACGGAAATTATATATCTACACCAAATTTTAAATATTTTAACTTTTTAAGATCAAAGTGCTCATATGACCTTATGCAGTTGCGAGCGCCGTAAAACCCCATACTAAACTAACTCTCTCTCTTCCTTTTCTGTGTTTGTTACTCTCTTGTATCACGCCTAATTTTCAGCACTTGCGATCCTATTGTGTTACAAGTGCTGTAAAACTCTTATTAAAACTAAGACCCATCGATGTTGGCCTGACTGCTCTTTTAGTTTGGTTCTTTCGCCTTATCAGTTTTGCTCAAATTGATTAAGGTGATTGGCAGGATCTCTGGTGTGGTTTGCTCTTTTTTTTCTTCTATCAAATACTATCTTTATTACGGTCTCTTCTTTTCTTTGTATGCTACTATAGAAGTATCAATATCTCCATTATCTTTTTCTTATGTTGGACCTACTTGGGTTGCAGGTGCCATAAAACGCTCACTAAAACCTGTCCCTAATTGATGCAATGTGCCATAAAACTCTCACTAAAACCAGTCCCTAATTGATGCAATCTGCCATAAAACTCTCACTAAAACCAGTCCCTAATTGATGCAATCTGCCATAAAACTCTCACTAAAACCAGTCCCTAATTGATGCAATCTGCAGGTGTTCTGGTGTGGTTTGCCCTTTCTTTCCTATCAAACACCTATCGTCCTGATCTCTCCTGCTTCTTTTTTTGTGTTTGATGCTCTCTTGTAGTGCCTCTAATCTTCGGTACTTTAAGACCTTATTGTGTTGCAAGTGCCGTAAAACTATAACCAGAACATGACGTAATCTCTTTCTCCCCCCCCCCCTTCCCTCCCCAGTGGTGAGTGCCCTGATTGCCTTGATCAACGACCCTGAGCCGGAGCACCCGCTGCGGGCCGATCTGGCCGAGGAGTACACCAAGGACAAAAAAAAGTTCATGAAGAACGCGGAGGAGCACACGAAAAAGTTCAGTGAAAAGCGGCCCGCTGACTAATCTAGGCGTGTGAACGACTGGTGACCTGCGTGTATTCATGTGAAGTCATAGGGATGGCGGATCGAATGCTATCCATTCCGAGTCTTTCAGCAAGGGGGTTGAGGCATCCTGCTAGTATCGAAAGGAACAGTAATACATTTGTAATTTCATTGAACAGCTTCCACCGTAGAAATACTTGAAATAGTTTTTCTTTTTTCCCCACCCCCCCTTTAAGAACAATCAGTAGTCTGCTTGTCTATGTCTGTGTCTGTTCCAGTGCTGCTGTCTGTTGTGAAGTTTTGCTCGGATGCTGTTGAGAAATTGAGAAATTAAGTGAAGGGAACAGTGAACCGTAAATTTATTGTCTTGTCTCTAGTGAATATCCAGGAACAGTTGCAGCGGTCTCATTGTGTTGATTTCAGCGGCCTCTGGCTATCTGTTGTGCCATTTCAGGAAACTGAAGCCATTATTATCAGAGAATCTTTTTTTTTTTTTCGTCTAAAGATGTGTCAAAGATAACCTATTTTCATCGACTCGGAATGGATGTTTGGTGTCAACGGCAGGCACAGCCGTGCTAGTGGTGGTGTAAATTCCCCTTTGTTCTTTCCATGTGTTGTCTTAGCTGGAGTGTGCTGTGTGGTTGTGGCGCATGAGAGAGAGAGAGACGTGCAATTCAATGACTGTTGTTTTTTGTTGTATTTTTAATCAAATGAGTGTCCCTTGGCCCCCACCTGTGCATTTGCCTCCCTTGCGCAAAGAAGAATGAGTTGTTGTGCTTGCTGTGTGTGAACGAGACAGAGAGTGAGAGAGGTGATGGGTTTGCACTTGTCCTGCGTCCATCTGACTCTTGAGGCTCATATGCATTGCCCCAGGCGAAGTGTTAAAGTCCTTGTTGCCTTTGTCTGATGTGCATGTGACTGGGTCTCTGGTCGCTCTTCAAAAGCAATGGTTTGACAGAAGAAATAATCATGTTTAATTAAAAATCATCCTGTATGATAGTGCCCTGACGTGTGTATGCACGAATGAATACCTCCCATTTCTCCAGTAGCTTTGCTATTTTTGCAAGAATGAAAGTCCAGTGCTGCCCTTTCCCCTGATGTCATTGGACGTGTTGGAATGTTTTATAATTACAATGTTTATGCTGAATAATACTGTGGAATGATTGTTTCATTTTTTCCTCTCCGGACGAATGCAAGTTTTGAATAATTTTTCGTCTGGCGCTTTGATGCTTTGAACTGTAGCCATGGAGAATTAATTGGGGGGGGGGGGGGGGGAGAATGACATTTGACAGCCATGAGAGGTTGATTGTGACAGGAGGCCATGTGGATCGGTAGTGATAGTAATATAAATCCTCAAGGGTCGTCAGTAGTGGTACCGGCCGGTACTGACAGGAATCAGGGTGGGTTGGTTGTGAATGTGACAGGATTTCTATATTGTTTGTAGTGACGGCGATAAGAATCATTGAAAGTTGGTAATGGTACTGGCTGGAATTATTGAGGAGTGATGGTGACGGAAATTATTGAGGGATGGGTGGTTGTGATACCGATAGTAATAGAAATGGTGTAAGGGCGGTAGTGATAGTGAAAAGGATGATAGGGATTGAAGAAGATTGATAATGGTGGGGATTGAAGGAGGTTGGTATTAATGGAGATTGTAGAAATCTAGAAGTGATAATGATCATGGAGGGTTGTCAGTGATAGGGATATATATAAATAAGAAAGTCAGGTTTTAGTTTATCTTTCCCATTTCCTTTTCATGCTGCGTTGTACAAGGAAAGAGAACCGCAGCTCTAGTTTCACTATTATCTCGGCCCACCGAACACTGGTCCAGTAAATGCCGCGCCGCGTCTCGCTCGCACCCCCCCTCCCCTCCTCTCTTTTCCCCCCCTCACATTGTCGCTGCTTGCCCTGAGAGGAACTGGAGTGGAACTACTAACTTACAAAACTAGACCGGACTACTTACTAGAAATGACAGTGTAGAAGACTGTTGCAGCTTTGTGGTCGAGGAGTTGTAGCCTGCTCCAGGGTTCTCATTTGTCATTTTGCCCCCCCCCCCCCCAACTCTCAAGACTGCAGAATCATCTGTAGATTGTCTGCGCGACAATTTTTAGTGATTGTTATGAGGTTGGGACTGCCTCGGTCCCCCTCCCTCCTCCCAGTGTTTATTCTTGTCTGGCATGGGTGTCAGTGTCAGAGTAGATGATGAAACAGTACGTGGCAATATATATAATGGAAGTTTGGAATCGTTTGTGTGTTGATCTGTCTGTGTAGGCTACCAAAGTTCCGTGTGGTTTATGATTATGACTGTTTGCAAAAAAGCCCAAAAAAATCTTGTGACATTGATGATATATCTATGATTTTTTTTTTTTCTAAATGTCTTTTGTAGCTTCCTTTTGTGTATGTATGTCACAGGAAGTAGAGTAAGTGTAAAGATACAACAGTGATATCTTATTGCTTTTTCTGCTCCCTTCAGCCATGAGAAAAGTTTGGTTCCTTCCACCAAAGCAACGCGTGCGATTTTTGCATGATCATGCCGCTGTTCAGTTCGGCGAGCTGCACTCTCACTTTCACCTCACACTTCACTTGCCGTTTTGTGTCCGGGGAGAAATCTTAGGTGTCCGGGGCCCATCGTCACTCACTGCAGTCACAGGGGACGGACGGACCCACTTTGGTGATGCGGGGGTGTGATGGTAGGTAGGAAAAGTTTTTGCTTCCCTGTGCTGCAACTGCGAGGGGAGTTTTGATGGCCAAAAAAATTTCCGTGGTGACAAGACGGAAACACAGGGAAAGGCAGTGGCTACGAGAGATGATAATATTTGATAATTGTGTTGGTGTCGTTCTCCTCACGTTTGGTGTTGGCGTCTGCTGTCATAGTGTTGCCGTAAGCTGACAAAACGCCTGTTTTTATTTTTGGCGCCAAATTTTTGTTTGTGATAAGTCGAAAGCCTGATTTGTTACCCTACTTGTGTGGGGGAAAAAGGTCAATGTGAAACTGTGACTAGTTTTTTAATAAATGAGAATTCAAATTTTGGAAGAACTCCTTTTTTTAAATGCTTACGCTGACAAAAAGTCTCTTTATCTCGAAAGTGCTGTGAATTTTTTTTTAAGGGCGTTTTGTCAGCTTACGGCAGTGTACTGGCGGTGTTTACAGAAGTAGCTGTAGTCTGTGCGAGGGGTGGTGGAGCCAGCTACGTGGGCGCGATAGAAAAGTTGTGCGTGTCAATATATTTATTATGTAATAACTTTTAAAGTCGGGATGAGAGAAGCGACGGGAACATGGCGACCAGCTGGCGGGGTTCAGACAATCTCTGACATGCCTGTCCTTTGCTAAAACTTTAAAAACTAAAGGTGCCTCATGAACATGTTGCTGGCATCGTAAGAAAATAGGCAATCCTCTCCTTCCTACGGCCTTTGCCCTTAGGTGATCAAGCAGAAAATGCTTTTTATCTTCAAGAAAGATGACAGAAATATTTTAAGTTTACACGTCGCTTTTAATAAAAATTATAATAATAATTATAATAAGCAAAATGAGAAAATCACTTAACATATCAGTAAAATTTGTATGTTAAATTGATTCAATGATTGAGAAATGTGAAGGTCTATCGAGTCTTGTAACTTTTCCTTTAGATGGTTTGGTCCTAGAGCGTCATCTCCTAGCGATTGCATTCACGTCCTGTTTGGTTTTTTCTTTCAAGTGATGAATTAAATCTTGTGAGTAAAAGGTCTGCAGTGTCTGTCTTCATTTCTGCCCCCATTTGTGATGTCATATATACAAGTAGCAAGCTGTTTTGTGTGGTCCAGGGCCATATATGTGAGGCAGCGTGGTGGAATCAGGCTCTCGTCAAATTAATCAAAGTGAAGAAACTTGCATTTTTTCGCAGGTTTGTGAATTTTTATCAAATTTTAGTTTTTTTAGCTCAACACCTTTCATGCCCATTAAAGAACTTTCTGTGTGGATTTTTCTGAAAAACGTTGATTAAAGGCACAAAAAATGTAAATTTCCAGTTACCACGGACTCTTAAACTAAGGAAATAACTAATCTTTGGCGGCCATTTTCTCACTAATTTTACCTCTGAAAACAGATGACCCCCCACCTCTTTCTTTCGCAAATATCTCGACTTGTAATCAAGATAAATGGATATTTTTTTCATCCAAATAAACACAAGTAAACAACCTTTAAGATTATACCAATAACTCTACATGCCCAAAAATTGACGAGAGCCTGATTCCACCTTGCTGCCTCACATATGTTTTGATGCTTAAACTAAACCACCTCTGCTTGTGTGGTTGGAGGGTGCTGTGGTGTGGTTTGCTCCTTCTTTCTTATCAAACATCTATCGCCTTATCTCTCCTCCTCCTTTTTTATGTTTTTTACTCTCTTCTAACACTTCTAATCTTCTGGGGCTCATATGACCTCATGCAGTTGCGAGCGCCGTAAAACCTCTACTAAAACTAAACTAAAACATCTATCGTCCTTATCTCTCCTTCTTTTTTGTGTTAGTAACTCTCTTGTAACACCTCTAATCTTCGGCACTTATAAGACCATTTTGTGTTGCAAGTGCTGTAAAACACTTGCTAAATAAAAAAGAGCTTGACACAATGGTCATTTCATGCCAGGAAAAAGTACTTTTTTGTGGTGTATTACGCCCCCATCAACACAATTTAGATTATTTAAGGAGGTGGGCTTCAACCCTGCCTGTCGGGGCTTACCCAACTATGAGGGATACGATTAATATCCCAGCAAGAAGACCGAGAAACTTGATAATACTTTAACTTCACCCCACATGGGAATTGAACTCGGTACTTCCGTGTGCAATGGCGAAATGCTGTACTGCTATCGAACATCTATTGTCCTTATAATCTCCCCCTTTTCTTTGTTTGTCTCTGTCACTAGTAACTTCTCTTTTCTTCAGGTTATTGTATGAGCTTTTTATATTACAAGTGCTGTAAAACTCTGACTTAACCCTATTACTGAAAGTACTAATTTAGGAGCTAGGACTTAGTAGAAAAAGGTCAACCCACTGAATGTACAATGATGGTAATGCAGAACAAAACACATTTCAGTTTTAGTAAGAGTTTTACGGCACTTGCAACACAATAAGGTCATATAAGTGCCGAAGATTAGAGGTGTTACAAGAGAAGAGATAAAGACGATAGTAGTTTGATAGAAAAGAAGGAGCAAACCACACCAGAGCACCGGCCAACCACCCTCACAGAACACATTTCTCCCAGTGGTAAACTCTTTAATTTTAATTAAAAACAACCAAAAACAAGACTTCTATTAATATTAGATGCTTTATTTACACATGAAGTTTGTGATGAAAAAAAAAAATGACAGCAATGGTGAAGATAACATTAACAGGGAAAAAATCCACAAATATATATATTATCATCTCGTCTCGATGGTCCGCAGCTGTTTTTTCTTCATCTTCTTGATTTTGGCCGTGTTTTTAATCTGTGGCATAAATGGAAAGTAAAAGAAGTTAAAAATAATCTTATATAATTATAATGGACCACTGCTCTTAAAGCTGGGAAGTTAAAGAAAATCACGGGACATCTTACTGCTCTTAAAGCTGGGAAGTTAAAGAAAATCACGGGACATCTTCCTGTCACAGTGAAACTGGGCTCAAACTGAGAGGCGGCAATCTCAAAATAGTATGTTCTCAGTTCTAATTTTCAAAAGTAGGTCAGGAACAAGGAACAAACAGGTCATAAAGGAGTCCATGCTCTGTCTCAGCCTTGAAGCCAAAGTATGGGAAAGCAGGCACGGATAATACAATAGACCCCATTAATCCCCCCTCCCCCCCCCCCCCCCAAAAAAAGAAAAGTATAGGCTCTCTCTGACTCTGTGATAGGGGTATTCAATAAGTGTTTACTCTGACTTTGAAGGAAGTGTTGTAAACTGTGAAGCTTGCAGAATGTGATTTTTTTATCTTTTTAGAACATTGTAGAGTAAGTAATGAAGCTGATTCAGACAGACAGCAAAGCTGTGTGTGTGGCTACAAAATTCTCCCCCACCCACCACTATTCACCCTCTTGACTTTTTCCTTTTCCCAAATCTGAAAAATTCCCAAAAGACAAATCAAAAGTAATTAGCTCTAATGTCAAATTTGCAGGTTGACACAGCAGAGAAGTATCAGCAGCATTGAATGTAATGTAAGTGTCAGATTTCAACTTTGCTTCTTTCACAGCCAGGGTAAAAACTTGTTGAACATTCTAATAGATGCACCCAGACACTTGTGTATTAATTATTCCACCATTAGTAGAGTAGTTGTTTAAGCCTCCTTTGAGAACACAATGGATCTAATATTCATGTCCCCCACCCCGCGATAGGAAGCAATTACGCTACTTAATCACCAGAAACAGTGCTGCCCAAACTAATGACAAATTACACAATTATGTTAAAATTCTAACTTTCGAGATGGAAGAAAATTGCAGGAAATTCCCAGGGCTTTCCTTGAGAGATACATATAATATATTTTCATTGTAGAAAAGCCTCAGAAAAGATGTGCACAAAACAATTACACGATCATGTCACGTCACTGTCCTTTCCCATGGCCAAAATGTGCACGCCCCTCTCCCTTTCTGGTGGCCCCGATGACAGTCTAGTGGTAAGACCACCAGACTCATCATCATAAGATTGCAGGTTTGGGGGTCCCAGGTTCAGCTTGGTGTGACATTGTGTCCTTGGAAAAGGCACGTTGCATAGATTTTTCCATTTGGCTTAGTCCTATAGGAGACGGATAGTAAAAGTGTGTGTGTGTGTGTTGGGGGGGCTGCTTCGTAAATAACCTTGCATTGTTGCAAAGGGTACCGGTACCAAAACTAAAACCATGCAATTTCTCACAATTTTGTCTCCCTTCCAGTAATTTACTGAAAAGTACACATTGTATCTGAATATTATGGAACGAAACTTTTACCAGACATGATCCTAAAAAGAGAATAAAAAAGGTAGGCCTACACAAAGCACACTTACCGGCTGAACGATTTCCGATTTCCTCTGGTTCTCCAGTTTCCTCTTCCTGTTGGCCTGGGTGTTAAGCCTGTGGAGCTGTGGAAAAGACGAGAAGAACATGTCAGAGAGGACAGGAGGGACGGTCCATGCCGCAGTGCTTGGCACACTTGTGTGTGGGGCTAACCTCCACATCTAAATGTGAGGCACCGTGGTGGAATCAGGCTCTTGTCAAAATAATGAAATCGAAGAAAACAACAGTTTCCTCCCTGCTTGGCAATTTTTATCAATTTTTTTTGGGGGGGGCTCAACCCCTTATTTGTCCACTTACAAACACATTCCTTTGAGGACTTCACCAAAAACGTTGATTAAAGGCACAAAAATACAAATTTAGTTTCCGACTCTCCAGCTTTGGAATCCATTTTCTTGCTAATTTTACCTCTCAAATCAGGTGACCCCCACCTCCTTCAATCCAAAATGTCCCCACTTCTTTTGAAGATGGATGGGTAATTTTTTTCATTGAAAGCAAGACAAATGAACAAGCTTTAAGATGATACCAATAACTCAATATGCCCAAAAATTTACGAGAGCCTGATTCCACCACGATGCCTCACAAATTTACTTTTTCATTCTCTGTTCCCGTTAAGCATCGAGAGGAGATGCAGTTTTCTATGTTAGGTCAGCTCTGCAGTAGTGATATTATATTTTCTCAGGGTTTCTTTGACACCCTCGGTCTACCTTTTGATTTTGCCAGGCCTTCCTCTTCCTTTATAGCATGAGTGCTTGGTGTTGTAGCACATCATTTATCATTAATTCAAGCACCAGAACAGGGTTTCCGATTATCAATGAGGAAAAAAAACTTCCCTTTTTTTCTCTCCAAGTTTTCTCATGGATTTTGAAACCATTTTCAAGATTAATTCTTTTACTTTTACAGGGTGACAGAGCTAGGAAGAAGAAATGCAAGATAAAAATTATAATATGGCCATATTAATTATTATATATACTTAAACTTCCTTTCTATTGGGTGTCAAGGACAGAGCTTGCAGAATGAGCGTAACATTGTAAACAAAATGTTATTTTGAGAGGTCACCATAGGTATGTCATTGTTGAGTTAAGCAAAATGAATAACGACTGTATTTGAACCCGGGACCTTTGAATGAGAGGCCAACATCTTAACCTCTAGGCCACGAGAGCCCCCAAAAACGCTTTTCTACTTTTCCAGTCACATCCTATGTTCTTTGTTTTTTCTATTTGAATCTGTCCCCGTGGTTTTATGCACCCCGCATAATTTAGCAAAATTTGATCATTTTTAGCATAATTTCTGATTATTTTCCGTTATCATCTTTGTTCAAATTAACAGAATCGCACAATTTAACATTTTTCGGCTCAGTTTGCATAATTTCAGAATTTTTTTTGCATAGAACCGCGGGGACAGTTGAAAGGCTTACAAAAACAACAGCAAACAAAAAGATCCTGTCGGCATTCAGCTGCAAAGACAATCAAAATTTTAAAAAAGAGGTCACGAAAACACAGTAGTATACGAACCTCTTTCCTTTTGGCTTTCTCACTCTTCAGCTGCTGTTCCATCTCTTTCAGTCGTTTCTTCTGTTCCTTCTTCGCCATCTTCTCTTCCCAGCTTGACTTCCAGCTTTTCACATTCTTGATCTCCGAGTGTCTGCAGAGCATAAAATCAAAAGGAGATTAAACACAAATCGACTGCTTAGTCGAAGACTGTACCAAGCGATTTTGAAAAGTGACGTACTATTATTTGTGAGGCGTGCTGACCAAATGAGTTACTTCTTGCATTCCACAAATGGAGATATTGGCCAAAAATCGACACTAGGGTCAAATTAGTAGATTTTCTATTGATGCCATATTTTACAAGTATGACATGCTTATTATTGTTTCATACTTATAAATTGTAAAAACTTCACCTATAAGTGTGATGTACCTATTTCCATAGAGCTCGAATCTAAGAAGTAACTCATTTTGTCAGCATGCTTCACATTTATTTATTATTTAGTAGAGGTTTTACGGTGCTCGCAACTACATGCTACATTTTAGGTACCCACCTATCGGCAAAAGCTCATATGGCATAGCCTACTTTTAAGTTGAAAAATAAAGTATTAAAAATAGGCTTTCCAGGTAAATTTTTACTTTCACCCCGGCACACAGA